TAGGCGATTTTTTTAATTACCAACACACAGTAATTGCTGCTGAATGAATGCCTAGGCCCCCTAGGTCTACACATCCGAAACTGCAGCTAACACGTAAAATTCCCGGATCTTCCATCTACAGCCTACAGGTAAATTTTAGCTAGTCCCGGCACTACGGGGTCACAACTATGTCTGTATATCCTGGGGGCCGGCCCGGGTTAAGTCCCGGCTAGTGCCCCGCTATGCCCTAGGTTCGGAGGGGAGGGGGTGGCGGGACTACTATTGACAAGTGCATTAACATAGGACGAGCTATTTATGTACAGGCCTAGGAATTTAGTAAGACCGTAATTGCCTAGGCCTAGCCTAATTGACGACAGAATTTAAAAGGGCCAAAATACGATAATGGTGACTGGTCCGACGAAGAAGGGGCGACTTTCATGCTCCCCAAAAAACAAACCAAAAGCTGACACCGTCTACAGTGGTCCCTGTCTATTATGGTCTATTCTAAGACTAGGCCTACGTCGTGGAGTTGATTAGCTCTGCATAGCCTCTAGTATTACTAGGCCTACTACTAGCATAGGCCCAGACATAGATAAATAGGACCTAGACCTAGGCCTAGCCTCCTAGCTAGCTAGGAAGGCCACAAGCGAAGGCAAGGAGGTAAGGCTAGGCCTAGGCCTACTAGAAGAGAACAATTTAAAAAAAAAACAAAAAACATAGATCTTATTGCTGGATTTAATTACTTACTTCGATACACCGGAAAGGAGCTTGGTTTTTTCATCTGCCTCTTTCATTATGCCTAAAGTTAGAAACTGTTTTCTACAGGCACGAGCTCACTCAGCAATCTCCTTCGTCCGTGTACACCTTTCTCCCTTCACTTCACTTGTTCATTTTGTTTTGGCCGTCAAAATCCAGCAGGGCACTATAGAGGGCGGCCAACCATAAATTAGCCATAGAGCTATTAAACAAATATTCTTATTATATCTCTATGAAATTAGCCGAATTAGCTCATTCAGATAGAAATATCTCTTAATTTTATGATTTTAATTTTCAAAACACAATAAATTTTGCTGTTCTTCAACAGAACACCATAAGTCACCCAAAACGATATTTCATTAAGGAGTAGTGAATATGTAATTGTTACAATTTAATGTTCAAATTTAATCATGTTTGTGACAATTGAAATTAATGAAATGAATTGCCAATTTATAATTATTTATGTATATGTTATTCATGTTCATATTAACTTTCATCTAAAAATAATAATTTTAAAAATACAGTATATATAAATGGAAAGGAAATTTGTTTTGGGTATACAGAAGCCAATGACTTACACAAACTAAATCTCAAGGCTTCACGTGTGGAATTGTTTTGGTGGCGAGAAAAATCCTTGAATCAGGCTTAAGAAAGTATAATATATACAATTCCAAGTATTGAAATACATTGTGTTGGGATTCAATATTTCGACATTAATTATGTCATCATCAGGAATGAAAAAGTCTTTTTTTTTTTTTTTTAAATTATAACAATTCAGCCAATGGCTGCATTTTTTTTCTTTTAAATTTTTGAATAAATATACAGTACTAAGATATAAAATAGTTTTCAAGTCGATCCTATTTTACATGAAAAATTGTTGTGTTTCTCCAATAACAATCATTAGGTAAATGGTATTTTAGATTTGATTGACTTAGGCAAGTTCAACTGTATACTGATACAAATTGAGAACAGGATCCTGAGATTTGAAAGGCAAGTGTCTTGGAATTTTATCTTCAATGACAAAATCCAATGATATATCTTGATATTATGAACTGCTGCTTTGGTAACCACTTTCAAGGTGCTGTAAAACTTCTGACCATATATAAAAAATATTAACATCAATAGTTTTTTTTAATTCAAACTTTATTTGATTTTGTTGAATCAGATTGAAAAGTAACACCTGTTAAATTTGTTTAGTCTTATCAATATGCAAAGCAGTCTTGTCAACTGTTCAATCTCAGATTATTAAATCTTATTTGACAAAAAAAATGTTGTATGCCCATAATTAGGTAGCTTTCGATAGCATGAAGACGGTAGGACGTAGAACGTAATGGCGTCACCAAAAGTCATCTGCGCATTGGAGAACATTAAGGTCACCTCGTCGAGTAGATTCTGGAACGCAATTTGGCCAAATCTACATACGCAGAGAACGTAGGACGCCAGTCACACATGAGTAATTCCGTTCTAGCTTCGCGTTGTCATACAAATCGAAAGATCCCTGTTATATAATCTGATGATATATCTATATACAGTAATGACGACGACCATATTTAGGTATGTCGCTTTTGTCAAACATAATTTGATGGTCTGGGCATTGGTTTACTGTATGTTTTGTAGTCTATAGCATTACAATGCATTGCATTAACATGACTGGCTGCAAGTCAAATGGCTAATAACTATCAGAGTTTATCTGTCAGAGTTTATCTGTCAGACTCAACAAATTTTGATCAAATTTTGTTGGATGGAATAAACGCAACAATGTTTGATCCAGGGAACAGTTAAATTATTAAATTAAACTGTTCCCTGGTTTGATCACATTTTTTTCTGATGGAATAGAGCAATGTAAAACTGTTGTATGCCCATATATAGTAATGATGTGCTATATATGGTCATGATGTGATGTCACTTGATAGCCTGGACAAGGTTTAATCTTATATCCACACTACAACAGCGGTGGCACCAGAAATTTGCCGATAAGGGGTCTGACATGTCTGACTGAGGAGTCCAAGCAAGGGGGTCGACGAAGCCTCGGTCGACGTCCCAGAATAAAAACTCCCTTGTAGGGTTCATAAGGACAGTTTTTATGGCTTACGGTCCAAAATGTGCTTTTAGACCACAATAATAATGATTGGCACTCTAAAAAACGTTACTTAGATAGGCAAATTACTAACTTCATTAATTTTTTATCCGACGACCTAGTCGTGCGTCGGATGGTCAAATGCCCACCATGCCTCCCTCTGGTGCCAACACTGCAGTACAACATAAACTTCTGCATGCCCATGGCCATATCAAATATAGTCACAATGTATGGAAAGCCATTAGTATCTTCGGTTATGTGCAAACACTCTATTATGTGCAATCGTCATGAGGTTATGTGGTATGGTCACGACATTATGTGGTTTGGTCATGACATCATGACCAAACTGCATAAATCATGACCAAACTACATAACATCATGACCAAACCACATAATGTCACAATGTCACATACATCCATATATGGGTATGATGTAGACTTGCCGCAAGCCTCTAATTATTGATTTTTCCTAGTATTCAATTTCGGAGAGCACCACCAGCGTTGATATACATCGAGAAACTTTTTATGTTGTTTAATTTGGATGCGAATTAGACTAAACCTAGGAAAAATATACGCCAAGCAAATAAGTAATACAGAACGTCATTGGTACCAAAATTGGTGAAAAAAACACATTTAATTATGGCACATTTAACTGCAATTAATTTCTGTTATTAACAAAGTCTATTGTCCTGATATCCATCAGTAAAGTCTTTTCTATATAAACATTTTCTGTACAATTGTTCTATCTTCAACAAAGTTTCATTATGGTTTAGAGTCTGCAAATTTGTAGAGGGTTTCATTGACCTGCTGGCCATTCATATTTCCAAGGTCAGCACAAGTCTCCTTACCAAAGTCTGTGAATAAAAAAAAAAAGAAGAAATTATACATTATTATACTGTACCAAATTCATGATTCTTTCATACTTCTTCTTTTGTATATTTTTGTTGCACAACACAATTTCACTTGTTTGTTTTTTAAATAGACTAAAGTATGGGGTACACTGTATTTTTGAAATGACCATAACCTTTTTTATTATTTAATTGTAAGCCTACTAAACATTGTTTAGACTAAATGTCGATGACATTGTATATCAATGATCATGAAAGGAAAGTCTGCAACTAGAGGCTATCCTCATTTACTTACCATATCTTGCATACATTTTTGGTTGAATTCCACTACATTCTCTTACACGAATAGGGAAAGATGGATTTTGATTTTTCAGATCAACATAATATTTCTCAACCCAATCTCTAAAAAAAAAATAATAATTAAAATTAAAATATTTATTGAATTATATAAATCATCAAAGGTGCATATACAGTGTTTAATAAGGACATGATGAAAAATAATAATACATAATATACAGTGTTTAATATTTAATAAGATTAAGGACATGACTTCCTTCAATATCATATTGAATTGTTCATATTTATAATAAAAACGTTCCTAATTACCACCATCTCTCATGAATTGATTAAAGAAATCGAATTATTAAATTAAATTAAGCATCCATTACATGTTTGTATACCTAAGCCTCTAGGCCTAGGCCTCTTCTCAAGCTCTTGGCTCTGGCAGGGGAAATGGTTATTTGCCCGTAAACCGTTCAAACAAAGTACGTACGGTAGAAAGCCTTGGCGTTCACCGCCTACTCTAGACAGATTGGCTAAATATTTTATTCTACGGTTAACATATAAACGATATTTTCTCAACTATGCTTGCAAAAGAATTTATAAATTTTTTACCTTACACCTTGACTAGAAGGAGATCGCTGACATAAATGAATGCGAATTTCTTTCAGATATTGCGGCAGCTTTCGCACTGCGGAGGAAGCCATTTTGTAATGACAAAAAAGTAGTACACAAAGTAACAAAGTTAACGGTACAACACGATTTATAAACATTTTCGGCGTACCTGGATCTGCAACTTTCATGAATCATGCCTGCTTGATTTATCGGTTTCAAAACTTTTAAAATTTGCAAATACGGTAACAAATGACGACATAAAATTACTTTATTCACTGATTCACAGAGCTTTTAAAGGGGAAAATATTTGATTTCTTCTACCAAATTTGTTTAGTCTCTGGATAGGATAAGCCACTCCATTGTTTACAACCTTCCTAAAGACTAAAGTTACCCATCGTTCTTGCCACAACCGGTAATATTTAAGATGGCGTCCAACGGTAGCTTAAATGATTTATTATAAAAGTTGAAATTCATGATATTTTCAGGAATCTGGTAGTATCTTTCATTGTGAGGATTAACTATTATTAAGCGGGTAAGTTAAATTGACGATTTGTATTTATTTTTAAGGATAATCAAGGGCAGTTTCCAGGTGTGAAAAATGGCGAGCGTCGTTGGCAACACACACACAATCGATACTACTGACTGATGTGTACTGACCTGACCATCTCGGGGTTTTTGCAGACTGTAAACAGAAAAGAAAAGGTTCTGATCGCCATTGATAGATGTTGGTATATATCACTACCACTCTAGGCCAGGCCCTTTCCTAGCTACTACCGCTCGGCAGCAGAGGAATGTAGCACACATTGATCGAGTTCCTAGTCCACATATATCAAGCGCCCTGAGTTGAGCATCTTGCATTAGAATTAGATGGATAGGCCTATGTGGGTTATTATAAAACTACACTATTATTATTATTACACTCACAGCAGGCGGGAGATCACCACACTGGTCAGGGTGCGGGAGCAGTCTAAATTACATGTTCTGTAGAATTCTACTGTAATCCACCAACAAATTTAGATATGATTCCAAAATGAGTTAGAGCCTAGGCCCTAGCTAGGCCTAATTTGTACAAAACATAACCCCCGAAAACCCAATAACAACAACAACATTGCCATATGAATAGTATTCTGATGTAAATAAACTGTTGTTATTCTGGGTCCGACTAAATACCACACGTAACCACACACGCCACCACGCTATTGATATCAAATATGATTAGAAGTGATAAATACAGAATTGTCAAAGTAAAGAATAAGTTTCCATTGTTGGGTTACCAGAGTAGGACAATTATAAAACTAAAAAAAAAAAAAAAAATGTTCATTTTTCATCAAATATTATACTCACTACATTATTATTATTATTATTAGGTTACTATGTCCGGAGCTAATATGTTGGCCTAAATTTTACCATGTACAGTATATTTTATAAGTACCCTCTGCTAATAATTAGCATGCATCAGCTCTGTACAGCTATATAAAACCATTTGTTATTTTATAAAAAATACACCCTTACTGTTTATGCTAATTAATGTGTCAAGTATGCAAGAGATCAGTTTATAGAAGGTTTAAAAAAAAAAAAAAATAGTACGCTTATCATCATTGCTTCATGGTGTTCTTGTTGCTGTTTTTTAATCATATTTTTAGTGAGACTAATCACAAGTGACAGTAAACAAAAGTTGACGTCTTTCGTGAAATGAAAAATATATTTATTTCTTCTCGAAAATTTTAATCGTCCCTGCCACCTTCTTTATTGTGATATCTTGCATAGTTTGACATATTAATTAGCATAAACACAAAGGGCGTATCTTGATAAAATAACAGTAATGGTTTATGTAGTACAGGGGTGATGTATGACAATAAACTATACGTTACTGTACCATTAGTCCTACAGTGGTTCAGGAAGCAGTTGACAAATTTATCTACATACAATGTAAATAAAATGAGCGGTCCCGAAGTGAGTAGATGTTTGATGAAATGTGTTATAAATAAAAATTTATTATAAATAAATATTTTTAATCTTAAATCTGTTTGTTTATAATAGATTTTACATTAATGCAATCTCCTTACTCAATTGTTGTTAACTGAAATGCATATTATATAAAAAAAACCCAACAAACAAAACCCCTAATTAATAACGGAATTAATTCTGAACCAATTTTGTAATTTATAATAATTTAAACTATTACATTACAATATAATAATTATGTGATACAATAATAAATAGTACAAGTTTGTATATTAGGCCTACTTATAACGAAATTTAGTTAGTAATTTTAACAACAAATACCATTTTTCTTTTTACACTTTTAAAGTTCATTAGATTTTATGTGGTGTGCCTTGAATTTTTAAAATAATAGTCTCTTGATGAAATGTAACGTATGTAGTGAGTGTAGTAAGCCTATTTAAAAGGTTATGGTTGAACGCGTTTCTGCAGACGTCAGTGTGTTAGAGATACTCACGGCGGCAAAAACCTGTTAAAAAAGTAACTTAAAAAATTGTTTTTTATTGATTATCAAGTCGTTTTCTACTCTCATATGATAATATTTTAATCATTTTGTATTTGTGTGGTGTCGTCGGGAAATGGGAGAATTTGCAGGTAAAGGGCGCCACCATTTAGTGAAAAGCGCCCTCAACATTTAAAAATATTTAACGTCTTTTGAGGTGTATAAACGTAAATTAGGCTATAACTTCTATTGGTTTTTCGTTCAAGTGCATTGTTGCATCTACAGTATTTTACAGTGGGAATCCCATGTTTTTTTTACGGGCCATACGTTAAATGAGGTGGTTGTACTACAAATGTAGGCCTAGTTGTTGAAATTCGGGAGAACTTGAACAAATTCGGGAGGCTGGGATATACAATAGCATGTAAATTCGGAAGACTCTTAATCGAATCTGGAGGGCTGGAACCTTTGTGAATATGAAAAGGACTACCAAAAATCAAATCAAAATCAGTATTGTTTACATTTTAATTTTAACGCTAAAAATATTGAATATATTCTTGAAACCTAACAAATTTAAATCAAAGTATGGATCGAGATCCTTGGCTGGTGCTGCTCCTGCTCTTTGGAATGACCTTCCATCTTTCATTTGTAAAGAGAAATCTCTTTATGCCTTAAAAAAACAACTGAAGTGCCGCATGTTCTTTGAGAATTGAGCTGTGCACAGTTAGGCTACGGTCACACTAGCGTCTCAAGCCTGGCTTGACTCACCACGGGTCGGTCACACTAGTTGGATTGACCTCTAAATTATGAAAGTTGAAACAGCAGAGCCGTAAAGAGAGAGCTGAGTTTCGCCAACTCTGTTTCACGGGATTCGATATACGCGCGTGTGATTGGGTAGATCGCAATCAAAGATTTTACACCAGACGTGCCCGAACCACTCTTCTTCAACTGATCTTTTATCAGCTTGTATTGGGCTCACAATGCCTTCACTTTTGTTTGAATTTGGGCCGTCGTTCTCTTCTCATGTCAGGGTCAATCCAGCGTCAATATGGGTGCTGAGCCGGGATCGAGATAGGTAGATTGAGAGGCACGAGTCGGTGGAGATGCGGTCACATTACGAAAATCTCACCCGCGGTGAGTCAAGCCAGGCTTGAAACTCTAGTGTGACCATAGCCTTAAAGTAGCTAGCGCTCTGAGACTTTATTATAGTGCTTTAAGAATGCTTGTTTATTATTGGACTATATTAAAAGTTTAAATGTTTAAAATCATGAAGTACATAAAATATAAAATTC